TATATAGAGAGAGAGAGAGAGAGAGAGAGAGAGAGAGAATGCAATGTTTGCAAAATACAGAGAAAAAAACGACAAACTTGTCAATATAGACAATCTATGTGCAATCTTTTCACGTAAACTGATAAATCTCAGTCCCTCGTATACATAACACGATGTTGTAGAAAATGCCACAGAAGCGTATACAGTTACAGCCAGATTTGATTCAATATCGGATTATTATTGTCGGCTCTGCGTTATCCGACTATATGTTGTATAAAGGAATCCACCATAGAGGAGGCCTTCTATTTTGCTGGGTCGGTGTTGGCTCCGATATGACATACATCAGTTCGTGACAGTCCGCCATGAGCAGCCCATTTGTGAATTTGGTCCAACTTAGGTGCTACGAAATCTTCGTTTTAAGGGAAAAATCTATTGCTTCAAATAGTTATTACAGACCTTCGTCGATAGCCCATGGTTGTAATACCTCTAAATCTTACCATTACTCATAATGAAAGATCTCTATAGTGACGTTAACTAGTTACTAACGTAATAATAAGTTACTAACGTAATTTGTCGGTATCAAGGATTAGGCTATTTTAATAAATTAGAGCACCTTTTCTCTATTGTATTTGCACAACGTATTGTAAATTTTTCATCGATTCCGTGAAGAAATCATGAAGCATACAATCGCGTAAGTAAGATAGTAACAACTAAATTACGTTCTGGTGTACCTACAAAGCATGTGCTCTTTATTAGCCAGTCTTCCTGAAACACAGTAGAGAAGTTCGTGATTTGAAAAAAAAAATTGTTCGCTTGTCACAAATGGCAGTCTAAAACTGCGAAAGGAATGCTATACTAAAGACATGAAGTTTTTAGAATGAACCTGTGCCACATTACTACGTTTTGCTCACACCTTCGACTGAAAATTTTTATATTGGCGCAAGTTACAATAAATATGTATATGCCAAGTTTAACAAATTAAATTGATGCTTTCTGACCCAAGTGGATCACCCTTTATTTAAACCGAACGCTCTGACAGTGTTGAAAAAAAAATGTACTTATACAGATAGAAGTATGGTGGAAGTCCAAGTGGTACAGCCCGAGTCGACAAAATCGATAAAATGTCGAGTGCCCCTAGATTGGAAAGGTAGAAATATCCTAATATGCAATATAAGCTAAAAGAGTTAGCACAAAAGTGCGTGAGAAAAAATTCAAATCACAATCAGGGACTATTCTTCGGCTTTGTGCTGTAAAAGAACGTGACAAGCATTGACTAACCTCAAAACACAAAAGTGAAAATAATTTCGGAATAGAACATATTTAAGAGCGAAGTTAATATTTTTATATTTCATGAAAATGACCGGATCTAATAAAAGAAAAGAAAAAAAAACGTATCATTAACAAAGCGCAACACCAGACAGTAATATAATGGCGATTACCAGTTACAATGGTTTCAATATTTTCATCCAATAACTGTTTTTAGTGTAACCTGTGGTCCAGATTGCGCTTATTTAAAAAGCCTGACGTCAAGTCATTTTGGCAAAGATTTTTATTATGAACTTTAACTCTGTTTGTTCTGTTTCAGTAATTCGTTATTAACAAATCAACCGTGCGAATTAACAAAAAAAAAAATTAATTAGACACAATGATATCCTGCCCTTAAATCACCAGTGTGATACGCAATTGTATATTCATTTGTATTTAAAGACGTTCGAGGCTGGCTCTCAGTTGTCTATACTGCAATAGTTCTGGGTACCGCTGTTTAGCGCTGCGTTATAATCATCGCCTTTCATTCTGCTATTCTAGTTTATGATTAAATCACAATATGACTCGACCTGGATTCGAAATTTAAGAACCCTGCGTTTTCCTCGGGTCCATATGCAAGGACATTAGCACTGCACCACTCCAGAGGCGTACGCGTTTAGTAACATTGTAAACACCACTATACCAGAGTAAAAGTATTGACATTCGTATTTAGCATTTTCTTAAACAAAGATTGGACACGTACAGAAAAAGAGCAAAAGATGAGCTGAATTTCTTTAAGGCCTTATTGTGAACGCTAACTTCCAGCAGGATGTTTGAGGTAGTTCTGGGAGAAACATGTCTGAGGTCAATAAAAACCGAAGCGTAATTCTCATTGTTGGTCCAAAACAAGCATTTCTTCAGCAAAAAACGAACTTTTTTTTCAGACTTCCTTATGTAAATCGTGTCGTTGACGGGCACCAGATTCTATATCTAGTACGTACCGCGGTAGAGTAGAGCTCTCTCCGGCATTTTCTAATAGCAGTACACAGTTAGCGTAATTAAGATGACTAACTACTACGCTAAATTCACACGTTCTTTTGGCTCCCATCCTGGGTCGCTAGTTGTTTTAGTCAACTACTTGGACTATTGAATGAATTGAATCTCAATGCGTGCATAGTACGGAGTATATCTATTTAGCCTCCAATTTTTACTCGTGAATCACACTCTATCCTTCGTGAAATAGCCGAAAACGATTTTTATATGGAAGGTGCAAAATAAAACTCTAAAATAACTAAACGGTATATGGAAACCTATAAAATATTCTATTGCCATATGGGTACTGATTATAATGAGTCAGTTTTTAAATAGCGACAAGCTAAGAGACGTACAAGGCCATTAGCCTCTGGGTAACAGGACAGTCTATATGGGAAGAAAACGGTTACGATCTTCATTTTCATGAAACTCACGTTTTTCTAAAAAAAAATAGTGTAAATTCGTTGATTTTAACTCGTAGTTTTCATTTTATTTTCAGCATATATATATAGACGAATAAAACTACTGGACGTAGTATCATCAGTGAATCCTTTGATGAGCTTTAAGTTAGCTCATTCTGCAAAATAACTTGGAACAAACAGTCGAGTATCACAGACGTATGGAACACACGTCTGGTATCTTAGGTCCCTGAAGGGCAAACAGGCCGTATTACTTTTAAGCAGTTAAAATTGACGGTGCAACTGATAAACCATTTGATATCAGAACCACGACTTTTTCTGATTTTGCAAGGAGGAATGACACTTTTGCAAAAAAAATAGGCGTAATTCACTTGCACATTGATTCATTTATACGGATAGCCCATCTTCCATATAAAATCTAATTGTAGTTTAGATTGTTCAACTTCTACTACCTTAAAGCAATTCACCAGGTTGAGAAATAAGTAGACATTTCATTTACACAACAATGGAAAATCTCTTATTTAGGATAACTTAACTAGTTCTTAATCAAGACTTAGAAAAATCCAACTAGTTCTTGTTATTCAAGGGTACAAAAATTTATTGAGACACTGATAAATTGCCGCCTCCTTTCGCGCATTCCAAATTCTCCTGGTGTTCACTAATGTTGGCTCAGGTCTCAGAGACTTCCCAGCAAAGACTGATTTCCGACGGAAACTACTATGCAACGAATAGACCCATCGTCGATTAGATTACATCTCTGAGCTCCCCAAAATACCAGTGGTGGTAATATTTCAAGAAGATTATATTCGCTTATAGCTAATGCATGGTGATGCTATTAAACTAAATTTGCAGATCTCCCCTTTTCAAAACTATCTCTTATACTATATCGTTAGTTGTATAGTATGTAAACCCAGAAAATAAGTCTCGGATAGATCAGGATTGAATTCATAATAAGTGTGACCATTTGGCAATAATGTAAATATCGCGCCTAGTCTACACGATGACATTTCGCTCACTCTGACGTCTTCTAGCATCTTTCCGCATATGGTATTACTCATCAAAGCTCAACTCCATCATTAAACATTTACATCTTGAAAGTGAATGCTAGTCGAATGTGACCAGCAGACAACAGAGCATATATTAAGTTTTAATTAATTTCTTCACCGCAATATGCTGATCTACAAAATGGCGACTACTAGTTCAACGGAACGCTTTATTTTGTTTCTCAGTTGACAATTCACGATTCCGTCACGCGCGCCGTAGACATTCTTTGGTGGTCATTGTTGACGCATAAGAACGAAACAATGCGGACAACATCAGTACACTAAAAAACCATCGACTATATACAAAACAAGCTAATTTCGTGTTCATCTAGGTTTTTTGTTGCGTCAGTGTGCTTCTTCTCCTGCATATTGTGTGCAGCTGTATGTATCAGCAAAAGATGACTACGGTTACCAACCTGTAACTTAACAGTGGATATCATCTATTGTCTACGATTGTCTAGTTTGTTATGTTGTAGTGTTATAAATATACAATTCCATTCATGCGGCGTCCATTAGGCGTCGATCTTCACTCTCTCAATCGCCCCCCCCAGTCGACTTTTCCTTTGCTAACGACAGCTACATCCTAGCCTGCATGCCTACCCAACATCTTCTTCCATTCCATCTGATTAGTTGGCATCGTGGGAATAATTAATGCCAAACTAAAGAAATAATAGAATCACGAAAAGTTCAAGGTTCATGCTATTTACTCCACCCTGTGACTGTAATATCTGGTTATCATTACTGTCTTTAATGTACCACAAATAAAAGCGGTACGTAATAATATGCCCCTACTACGATACTTTGTACAGTAGATAGTATAAAGATTAATGGCACACTACCACCAAATGTCAGGTGAGGGATCGTCTGCGCCTGTACTTTTTTTTACAACAACGCACGTCTTCGCATAGGGCCTATATGTCTAAGCAGCCTTGCTCATGTGACTTAAGAATAATACCCATGAAAAAGACCAGTTTTAGAATTAAGGCAATCGTTTCCTTACACTTCCCCATGCACACACGCGGGCAGACTGTACGCTCGGTCTAGTATATCCGTCTTTTTTAGGGTGATGGACGAAAGCTGCCACCAATACTACTTAGTTTGTTATTGAGAGGGTGATGATGTGAAATGATGACATCACATCTTTCATCGTGAGAATGTATTCTATCCGGGGGAATAGATGTTTTTGATGACAATTAAATAGTGTCCATTTTAATGGTCGTTCCTTGGCATATGCAACATTGACAAAACGCCGACTGAAGGAGGTCGACGTCGATCCATATCCCGCCGACCGTTAAGCGCGCAATGATCTTCAAAAAGATAAATTCTTCCCTACCTATCTTGTTCTCTCGCTGTTAAAATGCTCTCTTTACACGTTGAGGCAGAATTGATTCCCGAGCAGATCTAAACAAAGTCAATAATGAGGACTTCTTAAGTCCTCGTTTAGCGAAGTTGAATGATTGGCCGAAAGGATCACCGTCATCTGAAATGATTGATTAAAACAGAGAACCATCGATGTTCTAAATTAGGTCATTATACCGACTCATGGGTGATTGCCGATCAAAGCATACGAAAAGAGACAGCGGGTCAACGATATATTACCTTTCCGGCGTTACTGGAATACTAGTTACATAATCAGTTCGTTAATATGATTATTACCTTATTACACAAGGTAACTGAATTGGTTTATAGAAGTTCTGCATTGATTGGCGCCGTCTTCATGGCGTCTGCTAAAATAAAGTAAATAAAAAAATGACGCTACACTACCGTGTGATATTTTTACCTTTGAACAAAAGCGCATTTTAACTGAATAACAAACTGAATTGAATATCTTTCAAATCCGCAATCTAGGTGTTTCATAGATGGTCAGAATTCGACTATTACACGGATATATAAAGCAAAATATAGTTTAGCATCGCATATAAAATATCGATAACGATCTTGAGATGTTATTCATATCATTGTTGAATTTTAATATCATCATAACTCATACTACTTAGAATCAATCCGAGCGTTATTTTATTTAAGTATCATCTACTGCCGTCTCGTACCAAGGATTTTCCGTTCGGCTCTTGTAGGCAAAACAGCATCGTTCGCAGATAAAGAAACAACAAAGGCGAACGGAACCGCCCACAGGCAAAGTGTGAAGTAGGCGAGCACCTCGCTGAATGGAAAATAGACTGACGAGAAGAACGAAAATGCCTGATAATGATTCCACACCACCAAAACTGAAAACAAGAGATATCGATAAGGCATATTTGTTAGTGCTATTTTTGGTCCGAGATTTATACCAATATAAATTATATAAAATGACTCAACAAATACAAATAGTGAACAGGAGTAATGCGATATTGTATGTGTAAGTAGCACCTTTGTGCAAATTCAATTTTTTAACGTGCTTGTTACCGGCTCCTTATAGGCTCTGAACATGCATTATTTCTCTTATTATATGCCCTTATGTAACTTGCAGTTTTCTTGTCGTACATTATAGATTTCTGCTTTATATTATCTACTATAGGTAACACTTTTATTATCCAAGATCGTCGGTTATTAGAATCGGTCACTATTCTAATTATATAAAAATATCTCTTCCGTGCAGTTTCTTACGCATCACATTCAGAATGAACACGACGAATACCTGCAACAAATACGATACATAAATGCTTGCCTTTGACCCGCATTCGCTTCATAAATGCCGACTCAAATTATTGAAACAAATAATAGACCACTATTCGTTAATTCCCATAGGTTACGTAATAGAATTTGACTTTTATGTTAGTGTAATACGAAAAGTTGTTGTTAGTCCCATAGCTTGTCTTATTTTGTTTGTGCAGTTTTACCGTATTATTTCTACTCTCTATTTCTACCTCCTAGCTCTATTACCAGAACTCAATCCGTGTGTTACGATTACGCGAGCCGCACTTTACACTGACATATAAATACTGGAAAAGATATTGTTTCTTTCTGTCGCAATGGATTTAGTCATTTCTAGATACCTTACGTCCCGCATTAGTGTCGGGCCCCGTCTCAGCCGCCGAAAAAACTACCGACTAATCATCACAACGCCATTGAACTTCATCCTCTTCCACCATCAGATCTACATAACTTTGGTGAAAACTTACAAAGTAGCACATTCAGTGGGAATCACCCGTCGGGCCGCGTATCTCACCAAACACGTCATTTTCCAACATGCGTAAACCTGATCTTGCAGTAGCAGCGTCAATGTCAACCGCCCGTCCACTTTTCTCTAACTGATTTTCTCCTAAGAAAATTTCGGTTGCCAAATCGGTTCTTCGAAGTTACTTATCTTTTGATTCGCATATATAACTTACAAAACTTTTTATTCCCTCGATCATCACTCTTTTGGGGCCATTGTCAGCATACATAGGCCTCATCTCTTCTAATCTGTAGAATTAGCACTCTATTTCTTTGCCAATCACTCTGACATTTTCTAGCCGATCGCTCCAAATAACAATCTCTTCTCCGGATTTTTCCATGGATTTTTATGGGGTGACACTTGCCAACACCAAGGCGACCTGAGTAGTAACGGTCTGGTGTACCTGGGTTACAGTGCAAAAGTTCGCTGAGCCCTCTGAAGAAGAATCGTTGAAAAAGAGCTTGTGTCCACTTTCGCCGGCTCCAAGAATGCGCGATGGATTCGAGGACTGATAATTTGAGATTCATTTCGCCTTTTCTTGGCCTACGGATGTTTAGCATAATCTTGCACTTTTTACGCATCCTCATCTCATATGGCGTGACCGACCTGGATTTCTAAGTATTTGGAAACTTTGGTCGTTTTTATACGTGCACGAATTTAATTGACGTATCCAGGTATACCTTTTCACTAGATCGAAAAATCGCATCTGAATTCATCCGGTCGAGCTCCACTTTATTGTCGCTAACACATATCGCGATTTCGACAAACGGCGGATTGGCTCTACGATCGAATCCATGCAGGGTTTATGCACTAACAATCGTTTCGACGCCAACTGATATGCTTTCCGCTCATAAATCAGGCTCGACAGCAGGAGCAAAGATAGACTAGAAAAACATACTTCGGCTACTTTAATTCTACTGATCATTGAGCATCACACGAAACTGAGTTGGGGAGAACTATGCAGGTCATACATATCAGGGCATACAGGGAAAGGGGAGCACAGGAAAAACAGACGCAAGGTGAAATCCGTTGGTAAATTCTTGTTGCGTCTGAATAAATTAGCTGCAATTGGATACGTTCGAAATATGGGCTCCTTTTAGTATCAGACGTGACACAATCTCAGTGCCACACGAGTAGTGATATTTGTTAATAATTTAAAATACAAATATGTATACGCATACGGGTATTTACTGCAAACGTTTCACAAATCTACATAACCTTTTTTTTGAAGTAATTTGGCCATGCCCGCCAGGTTTCCAGCTCGTCTACTTTAATACGTACCACCGCCGGCGATGAACGATGGCGACATGGGGTCAACAAATGGGAATGTTTTTAAGACTAGTAAATGTGAGACCTGGCTAAGGAAGCCGCTAAGCAACATCGTCGTTGGGAAGTTCTCGAACACGAGAAGACATGAGTAGATAAATATAGTGCCCTGTTTATGAAAAATGCAAATAACAAACACACTGTTAGGTAAATGACAACCTACAAGGAATACACAAATAAACAGATTAAAACATTTCGGTACACTACTGCGTGCGGTATATGATAGGCCTTATTGTCGTTATCAAACGGCATAAAGACGAATGTCGTAAGAGATTCAAGGAGTTGAATTTGATATAACCATTGACGTACATGTATTTGTGTAGTTTTGTGCCTGGCTAAAATTCGAATCTAGATCCACCCTTCAATTATAGAACCGGCAATATTTAATGACTAATTGCTAATATATTTCACATATTTATATAAATATTCAATATATACTAAAAGGATATACATGTATTTCTAACTGATACGATATATGCATAATAAGGAAAAAATATAGTAACTATAAAAGAATATGCATTATCGGTATGCACAAAATCATATAATTAAACAAAAGCGTCGCTTGCCTCAGCGCCTAGATAAGGTCTAATTTAACTTGTCCACAAAAGCTGTAGAATACGCAAAAGGCCATTTACACCAAGTTCGGATTATAGGCATGTATGACTGTTTTGGCTAATAAATAAGATGATGCTATCGTTCTTTCAGAATCATTTGTATCTTGAAACTAATTAAGACACCTTCTTCGTTGTGTGGCCATAGTTGACCCAATAACAACAACGGAATTCGCTGAAATAGTAGGTGATTCAAATTCTCATCGTAAATGGAAAGGACTCTCTAAATATAGTTTCTAAAAATACTTACAAATATCATATATCGGATAGCACGAGCTGTCGCAACTGTGAACTCTTCAACAATTTCAGCCAAATAATATAAACCCGATGCTGGAAGGCAGAAAGGCCAACATAAAAACGAGCACACAATTCAGTTCCATAATCAGTTGACCCTTAGACGAATCAGACCCTAGTCGAACCATCCGATCTGCAATGACTACTAGGAAGTAACTTAAGTGCACAGTGCAGCCCTAGAATTTATATGCACATTAAGATGCAGTGAAGCTAGATTAACCATAGCAGGAAACTGTTATTCCTTTTTGTTTCTTTAGAGATAAAAGTAAACATGGGACAATAAATTCTAGCTGTATTCGGATGAGGACCCACTATGCACAACGAGATCCTGCAGGACTATTTATATCAAAACAATTACGTTGATGTCTTTCTTTCATTTCCCTGTTTTATTTATATCTTATGTTTGAACGGGAATTACGTTGGTGACTTGAACTAATAGAGATCTTAAGAAACAATGTAGGATATGATTCTTTCAAGCCTCAATAATATCTAGGTAACGAGTAGTATATCTTACAATCGCAGCAGTTCCAATCGTAACTTATAGTAGGTATGTGTTAACTTGTCATCGAAATTAGTTGGTTAAATTAAAAACAGTAAAAAAAAAATAACAGAACAGTTATACAAAATTAATTAAGACTGGGATGATTCCATATAAAATCTCTACAGCGCTCTTTTGCAACATTCAAATACAAACACACAAACGGAATCCTAATAATTTTCTACTACAGTTTTCATTGAAAAGTCTCATCGTATGTGTGTTAAATTGAAAGGCAGTTATTCTCGGTCTTTAACAGTTACTTACCGATGCATAAGACCGCGAAACATACTTGTACACCCATAGCAAACCATGATAATAGATAGAGAAACATCTTTTCGTGATTTTCTCGAACGCTTCTGACATCTAATGGGTGCGGCCATCTTGTTTCGAAGATTCGTCGCGATCGTCTTTGTTTGTTTATAATTCTCTGAGCACATGCACCCCTGGCGGGCTATGACGATACCGCCTTTTCGATTGCCTCACCTTTCGTGTTTAGAACGACCTGACTTAGATCAGTTCTAGTTTCTGGAATTGATCTGATGGAACTATCCGTGTAATTGCCTTAAAGTTGTAACATCTAGTCGTAGCAATCAAGAATATGCGAATAAACAAATAACAATATAATAAAATAATAACAAGAAAATATAATTTAATACTGCACTTAGCTAAAACTATTCGTTTTTTTCTTTATTTTTGTGTCACTGAAGAGCGAATTATACTCACTTTTCACAAACTATCTAAACCAATTGAAGCTAGCCTTGAAGAAATAACATAATGTCTAACGATTCTGTATTCCAAGCAGTATTCATCACTTAATTATGTCCACGCAGCAAAGAACCACGAACTACCAAGAACGGGCTGCTCCTATAACAAGGCCTCATGCAGTAAATGATTCGCAAAATGTTGGCTCCTTTCTCCGAACGAAAGGTTGAAATAGAATAAAATCTCTGTTATTTTTGGTCTGCTTTATTAATATGAACCTGAATTATCACCTTCGTCACATTAGATTAAAATCCATCGTGCTTACACAGTACAAAATAAATTGTCGATTAAAAAAATATGATATCTACCATTGTGTTTTCATCTGTTGTCTTCGGGTTTTCAACATCACCATGTAGATTATCCTTTTCAATTACGCACATCAAACGAGCACGATCTTTTAATAAATTGATCCACATAACAATATAATACCAGTCAGTCCACAGCAGCAGCAGCAGTCGTAATGGGAGTAGATGCTGAGAGCCTTTTATTGAAAGGTTGTTTCAAAATGCGCCGAACTTTAGTTATGTAGCAGGCTTCAGTTGGACAACAATGGCCAGGTTTTTCTGGTGGCGCAATGGGTATCTGGTTTGTTTGCTAAATATGAAACACACGCGGTACTGTAGGGTCATATCCGAGCATGTACACTTGGTTTCGTACCGAAAGAAGCCAGGCGTTTGGCGGAATGCTTAACGGTGGTACCCGACGTAAAACTTGAGCGTTTTAGACCATTACGTGAACGTAAATTGCCCGACAGTTCTTTCTTAGATTAATGGTTAACAACTGCAAGTATATTTAACGACTATTATGTTTAAAAGCTTGAGAGGTTTATTTGTAAGCGCCTTTAGCGCATGACAGTGGCGCCTAACGTACAACTCAAGGCATTAATTTAGCTATTATGCACTACAGTTACGATCTAGCATACTGCGGGTAAGTGGTGAGATGTTTCGCGCGGCTGTCTCGAACAAGAACTACGGTTCTGTGTATGTGTGCGTGTTCTGCTGGTTCTTTTGGCCGGACATACAAAGTGTCAAATAGGCACAAAAGGCTGTGCAGCATGTCCTTGAAGAATAGGCGCTCAAAAACGCGCTCTCCTACTGTTGTTCGACAACGAGCCTCCCTTTCCGTGAGCGCGTATTTGAATACGAATATTCCAAGTATTAAGCAGACGGCAATGACTGGTATGTTTCTGCCGAAACGTCTGCTCCGCGATCACTTCAACGTCATCTGCTATCGCTATGAATGTATATTCTTTGCCACACACGGATACACAAACCCAGGCAGGATCTACCCTGCAAATAGCCATTGTTTGCCACTCCGATTTCGTGAGAGCTCGTCTGAGGCTACTACTGAGTGGCCAGTCTGTCCATCGCTGATTTGTTATGGTTAAGTCTGCTGTTTTTACAGCTGCTGTTGTTTATGTTGCAGCTTTCCATGATCTTTGATGATCGTTCGTCATGTCTGTGTGTGTGTACGGCCCGTATAATTTCGTACGCAGCTACTTTTTCCCTTGCGCTACCTCCAGGTGTCCAGGCAGCAGCGGCAGCAGCAGCAGCTAGGAAGGTCAGTCAGTGCGTTATGCAGGTTGCATTGCTGGCAGTGACAGGCAGTCCCGAGCGGTCGACTGTGGTGACGACTGACCGTGGTTTTCTCTGTGTTGTATTGAAGCCCTATAATCGACTAACGCAGCAGTGCTATAGTAGAAGTAAGAACAAGAATATCAGTTGTAATTAAATCTTGCTGTCCTCGTGTTAAAACGTAGGCTCAGCGATCGCACAATAGATGCTATAGCTCGCAGCTGTAAGTGTAAATCTTTCTCGCCTAGCTGGCCTGGCGCCACAGCCGCCGCCGTAGTACGCAGTGGTGCGTCTGCGTCAAGCAAGTGAGTGTGTCCCTCTGTTTTGGGACGACAGGATTATAGTAGCCAGTCAAGCGGACCGATACACAGTGTGCTTCTACAGCAGACCGCTGTCGGAATAAAGTAGTTGCGACGGGGCAGCAGTGTGAGTGCAGGAGTAAAGTGAGGTGCGGTAAGTGACAGACAAGCAGGATATCGCTGGAGCGCCACAACACCCCCTTGCCCCCCGTCCCCCCTGAACCGTTGCTAGCGTCAACAGTACAATCAGCGACGAGCAACGGAGCAGCTGAGCAAGTTAGAGCAGAAGCATCATTGCTGGTGTCCCATCTTTCGGACGTGTGATAGTTGGTCGCTGTGGCGGGTTTCTGTCTGTCTGTCTGTCTATCGATATTTACTTGCTCTGGTACAGCAGCCAGCTGAAGGCAGCATAAAATGACAATACTAAGTAAATCTTGAATTGTACCTCCGACAATCTTGTCGAACGCACTCGCCTATCTGCTCACTGCAAAGAACAACTCTGAGTCGATCGAGCGCGCCGTCATAAACCATAGCAGCATCCATAGCGCCTACAGCCGCCACGGCAGTGGTGCTGGTCTTGACCCCGTGCAGCAGCGACGTGTACCACGGTGGCCGTCATCATCAACACAAACGCTACCCCTGCCAATAGTCTCATTTTGGTCCCGGCGCTCGCTGGCTCTAAGCGCGAGAGTCTCGGATAAAATGATTCTATTTACAGCGGCCGCCCATTGCATCTGGGCACGAACACCAGCAGCGTAGTGCTTGCGCAGATACAGACGACTGACGGGAAACAGACAATCCAACAAGCGGACAAATACCCTACGACGACAACAGCAGCAGCAGCAGCAGCATAAATATCAGGCACCAAAGCGACCCCAGCAGCATCGCAGTGGGTCGTGCTGGTTGTTGCAGTTTTCTCACCCATGGCCCAGCATCAACGTCCACCATTAGTACAAGCAGGTGCAGTTGTAGTCGAAGCGGGCGCTGCCCAATCGTTATTGGCGTTTTTGGTTGCTGTTGGACGCTGTACTGTTAGGGGTGAGTTGTGAAAGCAGTTCGACATGGTCCATCGATGGTGACACTGTTCCGCTACCGCCGATCGTCATCGCTGTTGCCGTTGCTGTTATTCTCGTGCTTGTTGCTTTCATGGTTGATTTTTCGTGGCTTTCGTGTTTCATGTTCATTGCTCACTGCCCGCCTGCATGGCTGTTGGATGTTGGTAAGAATGAATGCCGTTGTGTACCCCATTTGTCTGTAAGCAAGTTTGTTATCGGTCAAGTGAGCGACAACCATTCGTAGTAGAGTTAACAAAGTATGATTATCATTATCAGAACCGCCGGCAGCAGCAGCAGCAGTAGCAGCAGCAGCAACAGCGGCGGCAGTAGTAGTAGTAGTAACTGCATGTGCAAATATTCCGTCTCCTGATTCTCAGTTAACCGTGTCGATAGTGGCTAGTCAGCAGCTTAGCTCAGATGGTCAAAGCTCACTTCTTTGCTGGATAGGCTGAGAAAAATAGATACCCAGATTCTTTCTCTGCCAGGGGCGATCTGCTACAGGAGCATCTACATTTCGTATCAGGGGCACAGTTGTCGAATATTAACAGAGCCTGCCCACATTTTCTAATCTATATGAGTCAAGGGGAGCTGGCCAGCTGACACAATACCACTGCTGCAGCATCGGCAGCATTAATAACAACATCAGTTCAATGAAACAACAAGTAACAGCAAATTTGCATCTGCATCCTGGATTGGTCTGCTTTTATCGTCGATTTAATTAACCATCATTGGATCAGATCGAATCGAGTCGGGAAACATCGTCTTTACTAGACTACATCGTAAACCCAATCAGACGATACCTTCGCCAAGGTGTGATCGACCAGATTGGTATATATGCCGCTGTAGCCCTCACTGGTGCTGCATGGAATTCTGTCGATTGTTGTTAATTGTCAAGTGCCAATCGCTGCGTCGTATCGAAGCGTCCCATTGACCCTGGTGAGCGATACCGGAACAAGAGATAGCAGCAAAAGAAAAAGAAGGCTGACTGGATGCATCGTCTCTTTTCGATCATACATCCAATTCGTTCCTGTTCAAGATCTGTATTGGTGTGACTCGGCTGTAATCTTCAATTGCCCTGAGGATTTACGTGACACCTAACCACTTTTGTTGTCGTTACTTGTACTTCCCTCGGCGATCTGGCGGCAAGCTAGCTGGCTTTTCGCGGTACCTACGAGGTGTGACGAAGAACTGTGCATTATCGTCGATTCAGTGCATGTGTAGGTGTTATCGGGGTTCGGAACAGGCAGCCTTTGTCCCTGTCGGTCCCTACCGTTTTCTCTATGTTACTTCAAGCAGTGTTAGTTCGACTCGAACAGCTACTGTGGCGACATTGACTGCGACCGCTATTTCTTTAACTGTGATATACACGCATTTTTCCAAGTGTTGTCTCAGTAGCATTAATTCAGCCACTATCAACACGAGCCTATGGTGGCTGTCGCTGTTACAGCAGCAGCCGCAGCGACAGCTAGATGGACCGTAAATTCGCATAGACCGAAGAGGGGTGACCAGGCCGCAAGTGTCCTAACGTCACATTGCCTGTGAATAGGCAAACGGCAAACAGTCAACTAGAAATCAACCACAACAACGGCCCACTTGTTCGTACTTACTGGCGGTCAACAGCGACAACAACAGCGAGTCTCGGTCGTAAAACGTCTACTGCTGCATTGAACACGCTAATTAGAAGTACTCTCGTTGTTGTTTTTGTTGTTGTTATCATCACTGTCTAAAGGCTGTCGACATCTGACAACAATTAGACAATTGTTGGCAAGCCATCAGTAGCCTGCTATTGGAGGAGTACTCTGTTTTCTCACCTGTGCACAGCTGTCGGTAGCTTGTGGATGTTTGCGACTGAGGCGTTGAAAAAGGAAAAAACGTGCGTTAACCACAGAAAATCACATAAAATAAGGATAACGTGAGAGTGATACACGTTGCTGAACGAAGTCATAGCAAAAGGATAAAACTAAGTCTATGTAGAAGTTGTAACATTACATTTTTGTTCCGTCGTTAATTGTAAAGAACGAGAGCGAAGCCACGCGGCGTACGTGCACATCAAATCGTAAGTATTATCAAGTCGACTGCTACTAACAGCCAAGATGTGATAGGAAAAGAGCGAGAGAAAATTAAACTAATATTTATTCTACTAATTCTATTAGAAATACTAACAGTAGACATAGTACTGGATCTAAATAGTAGTCCAAATCAGAACGTCAAGTCTCTCGGCAGTTTCTTCCGGTTTTTTTAAGGGTAGTTACAGGGTGCTATCTGGCCGTGCACTCTTTAATAATGTCTAATTGCGACGATACAAAAACATAGATTTTTAACTGAACTCGTGATGCTGTGGGCGACATCGATCGAATTTTTTATAAAACAATGTGTGCCATGCACGATTATCTGCTTCACTTCTATAGCCCTGTAATAATATAGAACCAATGATAAACCAGCTTGTCATCAGTTGACAAATAAAGTTAAGCACGAAATACATTTTAAATATTTGATTGTGGTTGATACGGGCTTTGATTTGACCCAAATCTGCTAGAATTTAACCCACCTAATAGCTTCTGTGACTAGGTTGTAGTTTGTTTCGCGCTGAAGACTTGCAGTACAATATCGTATCGGATGACTTCACCGGTGAAGCGAGTAACTTCTTGATATTACAGGTAGAGCTCTCTGTCATACGATAATTCTTTTCAAAATGGCTATATATATTTTATTTGAACTTTTGCATTGTTCTTTACATAGACGTAATATTTGTTTGTCAAGTAGGTTAAAGGCAAGAAAGTGAAGCAACAAAGAACTTGCAGGCAGAATCATCAACGCGGCTCAATCAAGCTATGAGGTCAATCGTGTCATCTGATCCATTATCCTGACCAATGCTTCTTCTATTCATTGACTAGGGAAGACTGCGGCTATGCCACTGTATCTCATTTTATGAGCTCGCCTATCATTTGGTGCTGATTTCCTACGGGGATCCGAGTGGTCGAGCAGTAAATTTCTTGTAATAACGTAGCTAATAATATACATATAGGGCAACTGTAAACAGTAACACGCCGAGATTCTTCAAGTAGTTATCACTTCGATGCGCATTTAGGACTAAAAAAGGGGGCGGAGAGAAAATGCTAGGATACTGTTAGATCCTAGAAGTCTTAGGAACATTGGCAGTGCAATCGGTGGTCTCACCGATTATTATGCGCGTTTATGCTGTATAATATCTCATATTACTTCGTCTACTGAATAAGCAGTTTAGACCAAAAGATTGCGAGAAAGTGAAAAGCATCATTGTTTATATTATTATTTATCACTTTATTATTTATAAACTATTATTATCTAATTGTTATGTATGCGCACCTTTTATTTATATGTATGAAGTAGTATTTAAAATACGTAGTCACACTTTGTCAGTTGGTGAGAAATTAACTCAAATATGGCCAAGAGGTCGCTCTTTATTAGTTTATTTATGTATATAAACAAGCTTTGTTTACTTCTTGTATTATACTTAGGTACTTCGTATCGTCGTTACTTCGAGTACCTAAGTCAAATTGAGATATTTTCGAGTATATCTCAATTTAACAAATGTGACATTAAAGCAGTGTAGTTAGAGTATTGATAGCTTTATGGTCAAGTTCGGAGTTTGGGGTAAGCAATTCACTACGTGAAACACTCAAGTTCACGAGGCTTTCCCGAAGAAGAAGGCGACTCTTTACCACATACGAAAACATGCAGTACCTATTAGCGCGAGATTGTTTTGTTATCGTGAGCTCCGTCCGTATTGAAAGTCGGCAGGATAAGTGACATGAGAGATCATACCTGCCACCCACGTTTCATGATCACGTTACGCCTCAGGGATAACTACCTGCACGGTTGTGACCAATTGTTTCATAAAAGGTGACCTAAGCACTGTCTGTTTTTATGCAAATAACAATTACGATGTAACTCACATTGCCTGTGCTTAACTGTCAAATAATTGTGGAGACCCATGAAGGTACGAGGCGTATCCTGAAACTAGCAGCTGAAGTCCCACATGGAATCATGCATGCACGATACTTAAAATGGCGATCACATTTTTAGAGATTTTCAAGGATGCATATCAGGCATACATGTTGGAAGTTTAGCTACGAAAAAGAATCACTTTGAAATCTCAAGCTTGATACTGTATTCTTACTGTTCTAAAAGGACCCAGGATGCTGCATTGCTGGTCTCTACAAGAGATGTGGCATTATGGACGTGGCGAGGTTGTGGATTAAAATTACGTTTAAACGGCATCATTACAAATGTAGACACTGAAAATATGGAGTAGAACGAACAAAAGAAATACGTAAACTCTGTCTATTATAAGCGTACCATGCTTTAAGTAAATTCTCTTTAAGCAATCACCACGGTCACGCAAATATTGGAAACTTTAGCGAACGTTCTCAAAATATAAGCAAGTTTAAAAAATGATTGGGCTAGAAACTTCTGTATATTTTCTCACCAGAGCTCCTGCAAAGGGCTTACAGAACAAAATCACAATCTCGATCTTAACAGTGTTGTGGTGGAGGCTCACCGAGTGGCCGATTTGATTTTATGCTGTACTTCAAATCCCACCAACTACACAGTCTGCGTGAATGGACAAAGTTACTCTTTAATACAACCACATATAAAGGCTATGTATTTATCTTCTCACAAAACACGTTTCTTTATTACCTGTCCCATCTAGAGCAAGTACATTGAGATGAACGACCTTTCTTGATAAAGTGTCATACATTGACAACTGGGTCACTTAGGAGCAGTCGCCAATGGGTCTCCTTGTTGGCTTACTTAAGAAATGTCATCTTTGGGAATGTTTGTCAGAGTGATTGAACCTGAAAAAGATACTAACGATTTCTATGAACGTAGCGTCTATTAAAAATACCACTTGAATTTTACCATTTTGTTCTTGCCGGCGTCTACAGAAGGTTTGAGTTACATATATATATATATATGTTCTGAGGCAACTCATGTCCATAAAAGGTCTAAATCTTGTATTAAGATGGTTTGGCTCCAGAAGGCTTTCGGCCTGAAAGAGTGAGTGGCCGACGGTAGCTGATTTTTTTTTTACGTAGCTCACATTAGAATCTCTAGTTTCATGGAATGGAGTGTTCGGAAATGCTGAAGACATGTTAAAGTGAGTGATCCCAGTTGTTCATTTGGCATGAGAAACCAATTGTAGATTTATCGAAATATTTATTACCTTTGTCTGGCATAGATTCAATATACTACTGCTTGACCATGCTCCATAGATCCTAATCAAATCCATTCGCTGATTAAGTGATTAACCAATCTACTTCATGTTTTTTTTCCGAATGCTCGATTCTATGGTGAGCGTGATACTGGTGTTGCTAGCTTGAAATAAATTTCCGCACTTCTCCTGCAGAGTCTGCTTGAATCTTATGCAGTTAACATTAAGGATTCATTAATCACGAAAATCTACTGGGTTGCATCATACAAGAGTTAAATGCGCGCCATGCTGTTCAATGAAAACACTACTATTTACCTTTCGTCTATGTATTAGGCGAATATGTTTTCATATAGTTTAATAATAGTTCGACTAAGTTGCTGGTAATGTTACGCATCATCAATTGGTTTACTTCTTGGTGACTCACTGATTTGGTCTTAACATACATCTGCCTGACATTTATCTCGTGCCAATTAAAAGCTGGAACTATGCAGGTTGCAGCTAAAGCAGTATATCGCTTCCATTGAACAAGCCGGCTGTAGCGTCTTGTTCTCTTGACTAACGCTGTTATCGCTGCTTTTTTTTTTTTTTTTGTTAAGCTCTATGCGCACGTGTGGCCGACACCGGATAGATCTTTAATGGGTCGACATTCGATAGGTTAGTTACTGACAGTTCAACGTTACGTTAAAGCTTCTGTAAGATTTAGCAAAGATGAATGATTAAATGCTATCGTTCGTTGGTCGTCTTGTCCTTAGCTGTTCGGTCGGCCTGCTTCGCGAGAACACATTCAGTTGTAGCGTGTCGGGTAGGATTTGATCCACGTGCCGTTTGCTCTGTTGCTAACGGTTGCGGCATAGTGGTAATCGTTGTTGTATCCGGCGAGAGATTTTCTGTCTTTAATGTCGACCGTTATGTTATCGTTATGAGCGCTTCACGCGCCCTTGCTATTTGCCGTCATAATACTGTTGTCCAGGTTAGCATATGTTGTTATTGGTGTCGTCGTCGTTGTTGTTACTGCTCTCAATCTGCCTTTCGAGCTTCTGTACTTTGCTGTGTTCTTCGGCCATGGCACTGCTGTCTTCGAAGCCACCCTACGGAGTCTGACAATGCAGCGGAACTGCCGCTGCGACTAGCGGCCGCTGCTCTTACGCGTAGCACTGCCAAAAGCATCGCAAGGCGGTGTGCAGCTGTCTCTAAGGCAGTCGTAAGTGTGGGTGGCCAGCACAATTCTAGCTGCTTCTGCCGCCATTGGCCTTCTTTTCCTCGTTGTTGTTGATACATGTATTCGAGGCTCTGACGTCGCCGATGAAGGCTCGTCTGCTTGTCGACGATTAGTGCTATGCCAATAGTGCTCAACGATGTACTATTACATAGCTTCAGTACAGCAAAAACAATGGTAATGTTGCAATATATCCCAAGACACTGGGCACTACTGGTATATATATAGTTGCATGCTACCTGTATATCTGAATCGGCAACAGAGTAATAACTCGCTGCCGACGACGCGGGTTACGCAGCAGCATAAGGTTGGTAGTATGGGGCTGTTGTATGTTACGTCATCGTACGATCTAGCGCATGCAAATCGCGTATTTTTCTCCCTCTTTCATCTAGCCGTCACCTTCAGCACTTTCTTCTGTATAGATGTACACACAAGCGACAGACATATATGGCACAACAGCAAAAATAAAATTTGTTTGACAGTGTTTAGTTCACAGTGCTTCATCTCGCTTCATTGATCGATTCATGTTAACCGCTATGAATATTGAAGAAATCCATTAGTGTCAGAGCCTATAAAGTTCACAGTGCGATCGGTAATAAGCTAGCTGGCTTTGTTTGCGTTATTTTAGAATTGAAATATTGAGAGTGTATCGTAGCAATAAGAAAAAATATATTATCGCATTACCATTGTTAGTGTAGGCTTATTTCAGGGTAGTTTCTACTACGTAACGCCCGAGCTATTCATTGAATTCAGTCGACCCGTGCAGAATAAATTTCATTGTTTTTTATGAGGAATAAAATAGCGTCCATACAGCTATTGCCTGGAGCAACGCGCCGATATACAATAGTGCTTTACTAAAGTAAGCTAGATGCTTTCGAGTTTACTACTGCCGCTAAGCATTGTTTCAGACAGGCGGTTCTCCGCACGAAACTGAAAGTGTCTATATTCGGTTTCCAAGCTAGACTGCCTTATCAAGTGTCCCAAAGGTTAGGAGGCCAATGTGTTACTACCGAACAACCAAGCTAAGAAAGTTAATGTTGTCTTTTATCGTCCCTGTGTCGTTACAAACATTCTAACTTTAATCAAAATTTAGTTGAATCAACAAAAGTGCTTCACGGTAGCACGTACTTGAAGCATCACGTGAACACCTACTTTTTTCCCAAGCAAACGTAGCGCTTATGCCCCACTAGCCACAACAGCTTCATTAAAATTTGCATCCGCGTTATTGCTCCTCATTACATCGGTGAAACGCAGCGAATGTCTGCTCTTATCTCCATCTTTGTGTCCCAGGCTGTCAATTATTAGCTTCATCAAGTTCTAATTGTTGTTTACTATTGTTATTTTATGCTACATTTATCAAAAGTATTGTGTTTTTCAACGCATACAACTTAGTCTCACAGTGGCTTATGCCTCAGCTATAACTATATTGTCAGCTATGTAATGAAGTTCATGCAAGCAGCATAATAGGTGAGTTGATGGTCAACATAGGCTTTACGTTTTCTTGCGAGCTTTATGGCTCACGGTCAACCGCCAATATCGAACTTCAGTCTATGCGTGAACAAGCTGAGCAGTTTACACGATTGCGCTTGAAGGAACTCTCGTTTTAAATTCATTAATGTACTATAATTATAAAAGTCTTAACGTCTCTATCTATAAAAGACTTTTACGCGTGGAAAGCGATAGGATATGCATCCATAACGAAAAAAATTGCTTCGCATCATGCGGGACTCGATCCCCGTATGTGGTTCTGTTGGGATGATCTTAGGTGGTTTTTAACCTCCCCCTTACAGCACCGTTGTGTTTAAACTTCTATTTATTGTCTGTATTACCAGATGACCATTTCTGGTCATATTTAAAATGTGTCGCTGTCTAACGGGACGGACGTCCATCATAAACCGTGTTACTGGCCGCGACAATAACTAAGATCTAATTGAAGATTATATAGAAGTGCAGCAAAAATCAAATCCATGAAAAACGATAAGGCTAACGATGATGTGCTCAAGCCATAGACAGAAGTCATCTTTCTATATGATAGCCCAAGTTGATGACAGTGGTATCTCTTTTATGAGATTTTTATTATAGAACAATTCGTTCGAGGAAACAAAACTATTATTTGACACGTGAGGGTTAGAAACACGTACGGAAAGGGCCTGGTATGTTTACGCTTTTGCAGTATCGTATAAACTTGTGATTCTATTAATTAATACAGAATATAAAAGCTTATTGTATTTCCCAAGTGTTGATTAGGTATAATTATTAAGTTAATGAATAAAAAGTCTAAAAAAGGAAAAATAAATTGTTTTAAAAACGCATATGTGATTTTTTGGCATTGGAATATATCAATAGGCTTACAGACTCAGCACAAATATGCAAGTCTGCCTGAGTATAAATTTTAACATTAGTTGATACAGAATTGATGGAACTTTTCGAAGTATACAGCGGGGTACCACAATGTGTTATATTATATTGGTTTCGTCGTCTCTCTTATTATTTGCGAGGACGCTGAGGACATTGTACGGTTAAGGGGTAGTTGCATGTAGCCGAGAGCGCAATGGTTGTATCCATGGTGGATTCATAGATATATTTTAACATTAGCATTATGAACATCGCTGACCCTCTATCGATGCAGTAACACCTTTTAATTACGAGGGGCGTCTTCGTTGATAATATATGCAGTGTTATATGTCCATAAAGTTTATAATTCATAATAATAATGACCATCATGCAATCGGTCGACATGCATCATACACTGGTGTTTGTAATGATAATGACTTCCTAAACGTCTTAGTGATTAAAAGAACGTTATTTTTATGCATGTACAAGGGAAACTACATAGCAGTGAGTATATATAGTATTTGTAATATCGGCTAACATAGATGGTATGTATTTGATTTCTCCAGCATACTTGGCGCCATAGAATATCGTTGCGCTCGTAAACCATTCCTCCGTAGTTGTTTCCGAAAAAAATTATGGAAATTTAGCAGATTTGGTTAGTGAGGCTACGCTCGAAGAGAACTGCACACAGAGGAAGTTGTAGTGTCTTTTTTAACGAAGCGGAATGATTCGTACGTTGTTTTCAAACAGGCCCCCTTTGAAAACTGACTCACAGTGTATACATCGTAAACATAGCTATATCGCCTGAACTTACCCACTGGCAAATATAATAAGAAGACATTACCTAACTAGGAGGGTGCTTTCTGGCTACTTTGCAGGCATGCCTGATCCGATGCTAGGTTTCATGGAAAAGTTAATCGTTCAGTCAGACGGAGTCACCAGTAGCCAGGCCGTTTGAGAAACTTCACTAGCAACATTCAATGAATACGTACGTGAATACGTGAGTTCGTACGTGAGAAAAAAATATCTCGTGTGATTGTAACGATCTATTCATTTATTAAAATTAATAGTTTTTTTTCATTATGTTGATCTCGCTTATTATGATATTTTCAGCCGTATTAGCTAGTATTGGGCAAGTTACACGTCATTTGAGAGTGAACGGAAAGCGCTGTTGACCTTGAAGTGATGATTTTTTTTTCAACTGCATTCTATGACTTCTCTAACGGCAGTCCTAATGCCGACATTTGTATACGATCAGCTACTTGTCTAAACCAGATGTTAGAATGTTTTTACAAGTTTTCCGCTCCTATGCGTCTAGCATCTTCTGTTGTTATTATTTACCGTGGCAAACACAGCGTATATACGTTTTTTGAGCGCTAAAATAATGTCTACTTATTCTACCCGACCTCGCTGACAACACTGAAACGATCCATACGACCCCTAGACGTTTTTCGAGTGTTATTGGATTAAATATAATTTAGTTTGGTATTTAACAACTACTAGCCTAGCAGCCTCCATTGATACAGCCGTTACAAAATTCGGCAAATAGAATACATATATATGGTGCGGAAAAATCGCATGGATATCAATGCTGTCCTGGTTTGTCAATCTCAGAATTTTCGCAGATTCAGCGCTCGATTGTGACATGTCAAACAAATTTTGTTGACGACAAGCTTGGTGACTTTTTATTTTCAGCGTTGCAGCGTACTACCGTACGCGCCGCACGGTAGCCCTATCGCTGATTACGCGGTCAGTGATAGGGCTCAAGATTAGAGATCGTCGCTTAAAGATACCGCTATTTAAAATGAATCCCTTGAAATCCATGCTAGAAACAAAGCGTAAACAGTATATCTGGTTCGATTGTTGACATGAAACGTTAACTACAGAAAAATGATAACGTGTTACGCATGCCGATATTTAGAAGATGCTGTTCGGTTATAGTACGCTACAACTTATGACTCAGATATGTTGCAATTGGGGAGAAAACGTAATTACTAAAACTTCCTATTCGTTTAATCGTGGTCAATTATAATGACCTTCGAGATAAAAGAAAGTCTTTACCGCTATATTTAAAAGCGCAAAAGGAAGAGGGTGAGCCTCATCGTTTATCTGTTACTTCGCCCGCGCATGAATACATCTAATTGGACTCCTCTGTGCCCCCAACAATATAGATAGATGGAGACAGGCTTCTGATGATATTTCGTATAGACGGAAAAGCCCGGGTTGCTGCATGATTGTGTGTCAAACCACTGAGATCGGCATCGTGATAAATCTGGGAACTTACGTTGTGAGTCTATTGACTGTAGCTCACAAAAAAACACATCGACTCGACGACTTTTGGCATAATTGTATTTATGATGCGTAGCGGTTAATGCTTGTGCATACGTTATAATCTAGTAGTGTTTTCAGTTGCTGAAATTATGAGTTGATTTGAATTTTTTTGGGTCTTTTCTTTCTCTATGGTGTGTAGTTAGATAGTTTGACTTGCTGCCTTTTAAACCCTATGCTTAGAATTTCGTTTCTAAGTACGTCGGAGAAACGTGTTGAAATTCATGGCGTTGTTCCCTGAACAAGCGTTCCACATAGTGCTTCGCTTAAATGTTTCTACTATTCTATTTCAAATACTGGTATTGTTTTTTGTATGTACATGCTGTGTAGCTTTGTCAATTTGGTTTCTGATTGTGCAGGGACAAAATCGAATTCGAGAATGCTGTATGGGATTTATTTCTACTGTTCACTTTCCTGGCAATTATTTCCTTTCGAGTCAACAATGTGGCAAGGACTTACGGTAGGGCGGTGGTTTAGGTGTTATTTATGAGACATCTTTGGTCCGAACATCTAGAGCGCTGTAAATAATGTTACTCCTTCAATGTCAGTTGCAAGCCTTCGATTTTTCCGTTCGTCGAAACGTGTCTCACGTAGTTGCCCCGTTCCAAGTGGCTATGTAGCAGTTTGCGTCAGATGACGCCTGTGTAGCCCCTGTTAAAATGACAAAAAAAGAGTAACTATAATAAGAAGATACGGCAAGCCACATTGTCGGTGCACTAACTAAAATAACAAAACAATAATAGAAATTCTTCAAATTTAGTACAGATTTAGTACAAAAATAGCAGATAAACATCCTTTTCTAAAATTTTATCACATCTAACAGAAAAACTAGGCAGAAATGCAGCTACATAGCAACATAAAGACAAGTTTATTTTCTTACAATAGTGAATGTAAACAGTGCGGCCGATCTACAGAAGTGGCATCATTTCTATCGTCGCTCAATTTATTTACGGGAAGGTTTGAAAGCCGATATGAAATTCGTGGGAAGCTGCACTCTGACTCAAAATAATGGTAGGATAAAGGTTAAGTCTGATTTTTAAAGACGCTTCTGGATGCCACCCTTTCGCACAGTTTTGTACGTTTGGGAAAAAGGGCAAAGGATTGCTGTATGAGAGCTAACAAAGTCAACTGGTTTTGGATGTGACGACGACGTCGATGCTGATCTCGGTTGTGACATAGGAAAGAGACAAACGGCGAAAAGCAACGTCCTCAGCTAGAAGTGCACCAAAGCAGCTAGTCTTTTGCATATATCAGCATACATCAACTCAGTTTCTTTTCAGTAACTTTATATATATATATATATATATATATATATATATATATATAAAGAGAGAGAGATCGAGGGAGAAAGCGAAAGGTTTTGCAAGGAAGTAGTTTTACCGAGGTCAGTTTGGCCTAACAACCAACTATCTAGTCCCATATAATTATCTAATTCACGACAGACCAATCCGATACAGCATTCTTAGCAATTTTCTTTCACTAAGTATTGAATTTAATCTGGTGCCAACTGAAATCAATTTTTCAATTTCTAGTAAGACACACACAGCGTTTTGAATCAAGCACCACTATGAGCCTTATTTAAGTTCGTTTTTATCGTCGTTAAACAACGATTTTCTCTCAGTGATGTGACTCTATGCCTTGAAAATAGGGAAAGCTTGAGTGATGCTCGGAATGTATATATGTCCGTCCTGGTAAATGCTAATATTACAGTTTTAAATCGCAAAATAGATCGCTTCGTTGAAGCGTCAACAATACGTAATATTTCGATAGCTACTTTACTAGAGAGACCGAACTAGATAGAGAATGTGCCCATATCCGCTTATTCTGGTGGATAGTAGTTTTTGGTGGTTGAACCACTAAATGATCATGGCCGGCATGTTGTGTCCTGTATAGGCAAGTACAGTCTTTCTGCGGGCCATTATGCGCAGTTGTCCTTAGTGCCGCCTAGTTGATCTCGACCTTCTTGTATCCGCCTTTGAATTTTCAGATGTCACTATCGACGGTGGTCCCATTTCATATCGCTATTCCACCATGCTCCTTTGTGTTTTCAAATGCGGACATTAGGTCGCATACAGCGTTTTTGGAGCGAATTGTTAATCGCTGGAGAACTTGTCCATATTAGTTGGGTGTGCATACATAACTTAAGTGCGTGGTTTTTGTATGGATCGTTCAGTTTGTTCGAAATCGTCGCGTTTAATAATGCCGGCCATAAAGTGAGTGGATGACGCGACCGCATATAAAACAAGCCCAACGTTACAAACACTATACCTAATGGGGGACGGGGCATCGAACGGCAGGCGGAACAAGTGTGATGAGAAGTCAGTGATGGCTAGATGCGTATAGTCGTAGTATTACTATTGGATTCAAGCGCGCCTTTTTTTGTTAACAGGGATTGACGAATCGTATTAGTCCACTGGTGATTCTCAATTTTATTAGTTTCTGGTCCGGGCTTCAAGCTGTTATAGCGCTAACAAAACAAGATTTGTTGTACAAGTTGAAAAATGTATCGAACAGACTAACAAAACTTCGCATTACATGACCTCCATTAAGTTGACTAAGTATTGTTGTTGCTTAATCATTGTCTATATAACAAAGAGGGTTGCTTCCTTGTGCTTTATATAGGTATGGTTATAGAGGAATAATTAGCAAGGCGGTAGTCCAGCCAGAAGACTGAATGAGACCTTGGAAGGACGGCTGTAGAGGAAGAACGTTCACCCTGGAGCATGAACTGCAATCGGATCAACATAGAAGTGGAACGTCGAATATAGTAGAAAGGCATACTTGGCTGTAACAGAAAACGGAATTTATTCCCATAATAACGTTGCTCATGTAATTGTAACGTGTTTCTGAGTGTTCGCTTGAGTCTAAACAGCTGTTTGGCTGAATTCTTCTCTGAAGCGCGAACGTTTTGCGAAGGAAAAAATCGCTATGTTCTTTTGGCCTTATTTGAGCCCTAACGATAACAGCGAGCGCAAGTACTGCCTTTTTCAGCGAATCATGTGTGTCCCTCAGAAGAGTAGACGAAAGAGGCAGACGGCATAGTTTGTGCATCGCCTTAAAGAAGAAGACTTTCGAGCATTCAGCCGTCGCAGCGTTTGCTACAAGTAATCTCAAGGTTCCTGTCACTTTTCAGTTACTGATGATGCTTGCCAATATCAAGGTCGCGCCGAACAATAACGGCAGAAGTTGTAATGATGATTATTACGATAACAGGTACAGGGAGAGTAAAAAATATTCACAAAAGAAAAGCGATTCTTTGTAATGTACGCTCTCGAAGGCAGCCGCAATAGCAATACTTTACTCCAAGAGATGAAGTTTCCTATTTAGAAGCTTTTGCATTAAGGAAAAAAAGCACGGTAGGAAAATAAGACTAATTTTGCTGATCGTAGGCTTTTTTTTGGGCTTGCGGGTGTCTGGCCACCGCAGTCCGCTTATAGAGCTTGACAAAACAATGGCTTTTCATTTGTAGTGGAATAGAACGAAAAGTTGATGCGATTGATGATCTAACATACTGTAAACGTTAATTTGTCCAAAAAGAAACATCGATGTCAAAATGTAGTCAATGTTAATTAAAGTTTACGTATGCAGCTGAAAAATTCGAAGGATATCAAATAATTAACAGGGGCTCTAGATGTTGAAAAAAAAACAGTTGATTCGATTAATTTTGTTTAA